GTGGTGAGAAATAAAAAAACAAAACAAAAATAATGGTAAATAAATTTGTAATAAATTCTAAAATAAAAATGTGTGTGTGAACAAAGCTTTTCCCAAAAAAAAAAAAAAAAAAAAAAAAAAAAAACAAAAAAAAACAAATGTCTTTAATTAATAAATCGCTCGATAAACGTGTTTTGACAAACAAACTCTGCAATATTAGTCTGATAATATTTGTTGAGATATACGCGTGACTCGTCGGAGAGACGTGGAGATGTTCGTGTAATTAGAGAACGCTAATTACACGCGAAGCTTACCTAATAGAAATAAAAAAAAAAAAAAAAAAAAAAAAAAAATACCGGCGGGTGTCCTTCACTCTTTCTTAACAAGCACATAGTCCGACTCTTTGCGAACTATATGTAAGAAGAACGCGGTGCATGTACTTACGCATGTACGTACATGTCAACGCGCGTCGAGAGTGCATCGGACGTCTCTCGTCTCGCGTACACGAGCGTACAATAGCGAGGTAAATGCGTACACACACATGCACAAGAGAGCGAGAGAGAGAGAAAAAAAAAGGGAAGCGCGTCTATCGCGCGTGATGACAAAACAAGTCAACGAGTCAAGACGCTCATCATCAAGAGATGATGTACACCAAGAGAAACGAAAGAAAGGAAGAAACAAACGACGCGGACACAGGAGGGGGTTTAAAAGAGAGAAAGAGACACTTCCATTGACGAGTACGTCGAGTAAAGCAAATCGCATTTGCTCGAACCTCCGGGTGTAACAAGATCGCCGCGCGGCGATGAAAGGAAAACGAGACGGGGAGCGAGAACGAGAAGGGGATCGGCGAGGTCACGGGGAATACGTTCTCTCTTACACGACATAACCTAAATTCGCGCGCGCGCGCGCGCGACTGTATTCCTGAGAAAATAAAAGTTTCGCGGCGATTATTCGCCCGACGGGAAGAAAAACAGACAGGAGGTGGCGCGAGAACGAGTGGAATGAGAATAAAAAAAAAAAGACGTTGAATGACACTCACCCAAAAGTAATCAGCAAAATCCACGGTCATGTTGAGACCGCGATCAGATCATCATACACCACTTCTCGTCCTGGATTATTACAAGTCGCGTTATATATATCGGCGCGATACTTTGCGACGACGCGAAGAGCGCGATACGACGGCACTGTGTGGCACCACTTTTATTTTTTTTTATATTATATATTGCGCGACGCGCAAGAAACGAACCTAGGATTTCGCGGCGCGAAGCGTTTCCTTCTGCGCCACCCGGGGGAGTCGCGGTGAAACAAAAAACGGGGGGCGGCGCGCTCTCTCTCTCTCTCGAGCGCGGAGACACGGGTCAGCTAACGTCAATTGTCTCTCCCGTCTGTTATATATGTCCGCGTCGCACAACCTCCTCTGCCTGCCTGCCCTCAACAACTCCCTTCCGTGCTGTCACTTTGTTTTTCTTTGGCACACGACCATTTGTTCCCGGACTCCGCGGGCCGATAGGAGCGCGGCGATCGACGCCCTCGTCTGTCAAATGCGAGTTTCCGATCTTGCTAATCTCACGTCTCTCGGACGTTAAGCCTATGTCACACTACAGATTTGGATTGGGATTGGATTGCAATTTGGCCAATCAGAGAGCGAAGATCAGTAAACTTAGGATTGATTTTCTTTCTTCTGATTGGTCGAATTTCAATCCAATCTCAATCCCAATCCGTAGTGTGACATAGGCTTTAGGAAACGTCCGCGCTGTTTTTTAGGCCTGTTCTACAATACAGTCGTAAGCCGTAAGTCGTAAGAAATTGACCAATCACAATCGATTATTCTTCTGTGATTTATCTGTAATTGGTCAATTGTAAAGGGTCGTCTACAATGGAAAGTTTTAGACTGTAACAGTAAGAAACTGACAAATCACAATCGATTATTCTTCTGTACTTTGTCTGTGATTGGTCAATTTCTTACTATTACTACAACTCTCCATTGTAGACGGCCCTTAGACCTGTTCTACAATACAATCGTAAGCTGTAAGTCGTAAAAAATTGACCAATCACAATCGATTATTCTTCTGTACTTTGTCTGTGATTAGTCAATTTCTTACGACTTACAGCTTACGACAGTATTGTAGAACAGGCCTTAATAATGTAAATTTCTTACGACTTACAGCTTACGACTGTATTGTAGAACAGGCCTTAACCATAGACTTATATAATAGACGGAACATTCATGTAAGAGGAGCTGAAGCTTCGTTAAAAGAGACAGAAATAGTCGTGGGGGGTAGTTCTCTTCTTTTCTAGCGGTGAGTTGATTGGTGGCCGCGGCAGGCCGAGGGAGTGGCCGAGAGCAACGAAGATAGACGTCCGAGAATCTAAGAGAGAGTGATAGTGAGAGGTGATAGGATAGACTTGTGTGAGATGATTGGTACCCCACCGCTCTTATTGTAAGAGAGAGAAACAACTACTCCAGCACTATTTCTGTCCTTTAATGTTGTCTTCAACTTCGTCATATAAATGTTTCGTCTATTATATAAGTCTATGTTTTTAACTTTATTTAAACTATTGTAAAATCGCTTTCATCATTGTTTTTACAGTTGTTTATGCGCAAAATAGTTCCGCATTGTCTGTGTTACCTCATTGAATTTATCATACAATTTACATTTTTTTTCGTTTGTTTTTCCAGTAAATAGCGTATATAAAAGCCTAGGGAAATTTCATTTCTTGTGTTACCAACATTGGAGAACTCGACGAAAGCGTCATCTCGAGGTGAGCGGAGTGAATAAAATTAATATGGCGTCTATTTTGTAATAAAACATTGAAAATAAACTACCGCTATTACTAAACTTGAACAATTGGGTGCGTTCAGACAACTCAACGGTTGAGAGATCATCACTTATGATAGGACTATTTTTCAAAATCTGCTTGCGGTTCCAAAAGTATGATCCAATCAGAAGTGACTATCTCTCAACCGTTGTGCAACTGTTAAGTTGTCTGAATGCACCTATTGTGTTTTAATTAGAGCTCCTTGTTTCAATTATATATTTGTTTACATATATTAAATTATATAAATGTGCAAACTATTCTTCCAAAACTAAATGTTTTTTCTCCACATTTTTTATTACCTAACTAATGTTACACTCATTGTTTTTTTTTTCAAATAATGTAAATTTTTTCTCTAAACTTTTCTATTTTTTTTATCGAAGCAAATACGTACAAAAAATAATTAAGTTTATACACTTAATACCAAAGCTGCTATTTCGAAGAACGCACTATTCCATCTAACCCTTATTAGATATACAGGGAGTTCGACAATTACTTTAACATCTCTCGTAGGCAGGTAGAAGGAGTAAAACTGAGTCGAAAAGTTCTGAACCATTTTTTTCTATTACATATAATAAAGGAGTAATTATTGAATAAATCGAGCCAATCAGCGCCGACCTTTAGCCGGGCTCACGTCAGTAGTAGCCGCGCGGAGCGCTCACGCATACCAGACGTGTGGTTCACTGACGTGCGTTCGGCTTAAGGTCGGCGCTGATTGGCCCGATTTACTCAATAATTACTCCTTTCTTTTAAATAATAGAAAAAAATGGTTCAGGACTTTTCGACTCAGTTTTACTCCTACTTGCCTACGAGAGATGTTAAAGTAATTGTCGGACACCCTGTATAAAACAAAAGTACAATCAATAGCTGATAGTGCGCTCCTCGAACACAGCTCAAGCGCTTATGTATCAACAATAGGGGAATGTGTTTAGTTTTATCGAAAAATACATGTATAAGTCTTTTACGACAAAATAAGAAACTAAAATAATTACTTTTTCTAACTGAGTTACTCGAATTTTTATACACACATATTTATATATTTCTTCCAAATATACAAAAAGAACGATATGTTTATTTTTATACAAATTTTGATTGTAGTTTTTAGCGCAAAATTCAAATAATTGGCGGTTGACCGCGCGGCAGTGCGAGAGGCGTGGCTTCGAGAGCCGAACACAGCCGAGCGTGACCGAGCATGTGTCATACGCGCGCACACAGTGACACGCACGTGTATCCCCGCGCGTGCAGCTTCCGTAGAGTGAAGGTGAAAAGTTTTCAATCTCGTCGTTATCAATCTCCTTCGTTCTCATCGCTGGAACCGTTCGAATTCGTATTCGGTGATCGTCGTCGGGACGGCTGCGGACCGATCTAGGGGGTGATAACTTGACGCGAAGTTGGGCTTCGTGAGAAAACTGGGCGAGCACAATGCCCGCGAACAAGTCGAACTTGTCAACGCCCCGTAAGGAGAAATCTAGCAACGGGGTCGTCGCCTCGACCGCCGCAGCATCCAAGAAGAAGAAGCGTTCCACCTGCGTTAAGCATAAAAAACATTGCAAGCAATACCTGGTGAGTGTGAGCGACGAGTTAAAAATAGAGTGACGCGCGAATCAAACGGCCATATTTGACGAAAAAGGGACGCGCGTCCCGACAACGAATGTAATTAGACATTTTATATATGTCGATTTATATAAAACATATTAAACGATATCCACATATCCCGATCGATCGTTCCGCGAGTTATCGACGCGATCAACCATTTTGTTTATCTTTTTCTCTTTCGAACGCATGATAAATTTTGCGAAGCTATTCCCTGTTACGGAACAGCGAATAAAGAACGCCATATTCTCGAGATGCCGAAGGTTAGGAACGCTTCCTAGGGGAATATCGAATGTTATTGACCTCGAACGGCGTAACTCCGTAACGCGATAATTATACGAGACACATCCGCTTAAACTTGCAGAGTTTCCTTAAATTATATACAGTTCGATCGAATGCTTTTGTTTACGCGAAACTTACATATCAAGACGTTACGCGCGATTTAATCGTTTTTTATTAATCTATTAATTGCAAAAATAAATGGCAAAAAATTTTTTATTTTTTATTATTGCATATTATTCGGCGTTTTTGCGAAAATAAGAGTTTTTGTTCGGTCGGAATTAATAAACGGAAAGAAAGAACGATCGATCGGTGTTGAGCATGCTTTTTGATGTCGATCGAGACGCGATTCGTATTTCGAGTTCCTCTTGATGTACATATGTACGCTTTGAATAATAATAAGAATATTTCACACGCAAATCAACAAACGCATGTAATTTCACTTGTAAATTTTTCTGATCAGAAAATAATGTTTAATTACTTGGAAAGTAGTTTAAAAGTTAATATTCATGTAAATTTTGTGTAGTGTAAAACTTTGGAAAACACATTTCTTGTGCGCGTTATACTACGCCACGTGTACGTGACATATGTGCAAGAGCGTAAAGGGCTAAAGGGGATAAAATGAGGATTTGGATGATATGACGTCACGAGGGGCTCGTAACCAAAATGTTACGTGTATTGTATATCCAGAATTCTTGTCACGCACTCTAGTTCTTTCGTAGAAAAAAAAAAAAAAAAAAAAAAAAACCAAAGTAGGTGTTAAATATTTATTATACTGTGTACAGTTTGTAGCAATATTTATATAAACGACGTTTAAGTAAACACTATGTTTGAATGTTTTATTTTTTACAAATCAGGCCTTGCACTCTGACATACCTTTTCCTCCTTCATTCCTTTCAACATTTTAGTAATGTAATTTTAGTCGTGCACCGTAATCGAATTGATTTTATATTTCGCACTTTTTAATTTTACCAACAAATAAATTATCAACATTAGTACGTAAACTTTGCTTGAGGTTTTAATAAATTTTTTTTTTTTATTGACATTACTTTTAATGCGAACGAGTGTTAAACAAATTCGAAGAGAATATTGTACACATTTCGTATTTTCAATATGTACCAAAAATTTATCAAAAATTTACTTATTTTTAGGTAAACTTTATTTAAAAGAGTATCTTTTTTTGTCGCATCGTTGCACATACCTATATGTCCGTTATACGGTGCAAACTCGCGACTGCGGTAATAGCGAGGAGGATGGCTATATTCCCGACTAATTCGACGACAATTAGCGCTCCGATTCAAAGGATTTTTCCGCAAAGGATAAAATTTGTTTTTTTTTCTTTTTTTTTTTTTTTTGTTACCACGAAGTGACAATCCACGTATTGATTCTCAGAGAGCCGAGAAAAAGAGGTTGCTGCTGATTCGGCAGAAACAAAAGGATGACATAAATCCCAACCTTGCAGCTCTCTCGAAGCCCTCTTCCTATTATGTTTTGCAGGTGCTAAAAGTTGGCTCGGTCGTGCGCACAGGTTTGCTCAAGTACGAAAGAGAGAAGGATGTGTAAACTTCTCTGTCTTTTGACTTAGACACGGTAATCACTTGACGTCATATTTCTCTTGCGCGATTTAATTAGTGAATTTTATCCATCTCCTTCTTTTATATATTGATTTTGATTCAGCTGGTCAAGATACATACACGCATACATATATATTCAGGAGAGTAACTAGACTAAAAAAAAAGTGTATATAAAAACAGTGAAATTTAT